TGCAGGACACATTGCAGGTAGATGTAGGACTTGAAGAGAGGTGCTTGAAGTCTGCAAATCGACAGAGGTGGTCAGGAGACAGAATGCTAATTGCCCTGGCTTGCTCAGTATTACTGAAATCTCTGCTATACTCACAAATATGCATAATGACCACATGATAACTTAGAAAAGGATACACAGAGAGCCCACATATCTGCAAGAGGGCTCTTGAATGGAGAGTGGTTATAATTCTCAATCTAAATACTTTTCTCCTTGGCCTATACATGTGAGATGCTGAGTTGGCAGGGTCCGTGGAGAGTATGCACTCCAGATTCTTCCCGCACACAGAGCTGAGTTCCTTAGCACTCAGGAACTTAGTGATTGAATTAAGTGATTGCCAACTTAACCAAAGAGTCTACCTCCCACTCCCAAGGCACCCGGGGCTGACTGTGCTGTGTCATCTTCCCACCATCCTGTGAAGCAAGGGAGGACAGCAGCCTTCAGAAAGACAGCACCGTCTTCCGGGCTTTTGAGCAACAGATCCTTCCTTTGTGTTTGGAAGAAAGGAGCGATGACTGCATGGCTGTTACAAGTCAGTGACAATGTGCGCTAACAGAGTTCATGGCTGAGGCAGAACGTGTAGAAAAGCTGATGGCTCAAGTTCTTCAATTTCCTACTATGATGCACGTCCCAGAGTCCATCCCTTCTATCAGCATAAGAATCATCCGTTCGATTTTATAAATAAATACTAATGTACTTAAACAGGGCTCTTTTATTTCTCTTCCCATCTTATTTGTGTACCTTTTCTACAGTTTTATAAATAAACAACCACGTGCTTGAAAAGAGCAGTTTTATTTTTCTATCTTATTTGTATACTTATTCGATAGCTTCTCACTTATTTATTCAAATAACACTAGAGAATAGAAAAATCATCCAGCACTTTCCACTTTCTGGAGGAATACATACTAGCTGTGCACTGTGTGTCAGGAACGAACTGTGTGAAGGAATCATTGAGCCTACGCCTTAGAGAAAGGGCGTGGGAGGGTGGGGAGGGAACACAGCAGGCACAGGAATCTAAAAGAACACAGGAGTCAGGGAGTCCTGAGACATGGAGGGGATGCGCTGGCAGGAGTTGACTGTGGAAGGTTTGCGACCCTGTGGACTGTGTACACTCAAGTGAGTTTGAGCCCCCTGTCCTGTGAGCACCTGAGTGTGTCCACCACGGAAGTGTCTTAGGTAATGCCAGCGCTATGGTGAGATTGGAGTCTAGATGCTTTGTATCACTCATCATTGGGATCTGAGGGCAGGGGATGGTTCTGTCAAAACTTGGAGGGAGATAGGGACCTACAGGAAAATTACTGAAGCTACCAATGTTTTTCATTAAGAAGAATTTCCTGATGAATTCTTTAAGCTAGACAGCCACTAACAGCTCAGATTTAACTCAGTGAAACAAGTAACCTTTAAGGGAACTATTAACAGGAAAAGCACAGGTCCCTACACTGGGACCTTCCTTCATTCCAATTCCAGTTGAAGTCACACTGTGTTAAATACCTGCAAGCAGCAGATCAAAGATAGAATAACATAAAATTTATATGATGGAGTACTTCTGTCATACAGAAGTTTACATTTGAGTCATATGTAGGAAAATGGATGTACTTTGAGACCATAATGTTAAGTGAAATAACTCAGACACACAAGCTTAAATATCACATAGTTTCTCTTATATCAGATCCCAAAGTATAAATGAATTAAAGAGTAAAATAAAAGACATGTAATAGGAAACAGGGAGAAATATTTTTCTCAAAGGAGAAGGAGACCAAGAGATGAAGGGAGTGGGTAGGGAGAGGGGCTTAAAAAGAATTAAGGTGTGCCACATACATGTGCCAAGTCCTCTGCCAGTGTCATCATTATGTACTTCACATATGTGATAATAAAAATAAAAACTAAGATAAAACATAAATGAACTATACCTAACATGAAGAGGAAAACAATATTTCAATATATATACAGTAAAATATATAGTATGATAAATATTTGCAACACAAAGATACTTCTTTGTTAATAAGAAATATTGCTAAGAAACATAGTTTGATAAATTTCAAAAGTTTTAATGAATACAGTCCTAATATTTTGACTAATAAATGCAATTTCTTTTAGCATTTTGACCTAATTTTGTTTTAAATTTTATGTAGTGGCCCTACATAAAGTTAGCTTTTTTGTTGCCCCCAAACACTTTAGTAAATAGGATGAAGGTCTCAAAGGTTTTAATTATCTCAGCTGAAAAGAAATTATTAGTATTTCTAACACTAGTACTCGAGTTCTAGTTATCTCCCCATTGGGCTTTTTTTGGTCACTTCAATCTCTCTTATATTCTCTATTTTAAGTGAAGCTCTGGTAATTGTGCCTATGTAACTACATACTGGGATTCAGTATTTATTAAAAATAAGATGCAATGATTTAGGACACAGTTATAAAATTAAGCTGGCTCAGGTACAGTGTCCTGAACCCTGTGGGTGCCTTTCTCAGTCTCATTTCTTTTCTCAGATTCACAGAATGGCCATTTCACTATATGCCCAGTAGCTCTGAAATGAGAATAGAAAGTACCTTATTATACTGAAAAATACAACCTACAGATTTCTCGTTATTAATTATTTCCTCAATTCACATAATATTCACATTGCCATATACCAAATAGAATTTAAATGATTATAAGAATGAGCTTATTAGTAATTTTAGGGTCACTGAAATCCTATTTGCTTTTAAAATTCCTGGAGATTTCAAGATGATTTTTATGGTATATCATTTCAGCTAAGTAAGGAGGATGCTGAAAAAATTCAAATCTGCTAGTGTATGTTCATACAAATACATAGAAACTATGGCAAATACAATTACAGTGTATTTGGAGTTTTTAATAAAGATGTTCAGTAGACCATTTGGAAAACACCTGATTTTCCCAATTTAGTGACAGAGCTACACAGGAAAGAAACAGTGAACACATTATACTGAGACAGAAGAGCACTGCTTTTTTTTTTTTTTTTTTTTTTTTTTAACATCTTTTCACATAACCTATGCTAGGGCAAAGCTAAATGCTGGAAGGAAGTCCATAAGGAGAAGTGCCCTGCAGTGTGGGTGCCCGTGAGGTCCAGCTAGCCCACAACAAAAAGGGACACTCTGTGTCTTCCTCATTCTAGTTGGGTCTGTCGATGAGCCCACAGGTAAGTTTTGTGGCCTCAGAGGGTTGAGGTGAGCCCGGGTGGCATCTGAGCAGGTATAGGCTGCCCTTCCTGGGATGACGATGGGATGATGGGATGTCAGCCACACTGGGGGACAGCCACCTCAGAGCACTTGCTCTGATCCCTCCCACACCCGAGTCCTCTGGCCACAGCAACAAGAACCCTGGACCTGTCTCCAAGTACAGCAATTAAACCAGCACCTCAGCATCTGCTTCCGCCAAGGTTGGGAACGTGTGTGTTGGAATAACCCTCTCCCTTGGGACTAAGACCTCCAGCTGACAAGGGCTCCTTGCTCCTGGGCTCTGACTGCCCCATACACTTCCCTTCCCCGAGGCAGGTGGAGCACAAATCTCAAGTGCAGCCCAGCCTCTCTCACCCCTCATCTCTGACACCCTGGGCAAAAACAGAACAGAGCATTTTCTCAGTACCTAAAACCTGCAAAAAGTTTGTACTTGCTTCAAGTTCCAGAACACATCATGACTTGCATTTTATTGCACTCTGAAAAAATGTCTAGGAGTCATAAATTACATTTAATGTTCAGTATATACAAAGCTTTCCTCCAACAGAAAAACCAATGCAAAGTGCACTTGGGGCTCATTCTCCACTGTCTGAATACTGATAAAGCTGTGTTATCATCTTTGTCCATCTTCTGTATGAACAGAATTGTTAAGCAGAAGACAAGGTAGACTTGTCAGAAGACAATGAAACGATCCACATTTCAAGCTATTACTTTTGTACTTGCTTTGCAATTACAATGTAGACATTTTTGTCAAATGTTCTCAGACTCCAGTTTGACAAATGGCATTTCACTCTCTGTGCCTCCCTGACATTTTTACCTTCTCCTGTGTTCTAAAATATGTCCCTCATAAAGGAGAACTCTAACAGAAAAACGTGTCACGCTAAGTAAGAAAGTCTCCACTTCTAAACTAGTTGCAACACATAAACCACCACACTCTCATCGACAGCTTTGTTACAAATTTTCTAGGTTATTTTATGCTAAATTTGAAGATCACATTGTTCCACTCAACTATGTCTTTCTTTACTTCTTCCATCTTCCCCTCTCCCTTCCAGCAAGGCAAGTAAGCAAAATTATAATTCTAATTATCAAGCCTTAGCAGAAAAGAACTTCATTTATTTCACTCTGAAAACTTGATGGAAGAAAGGCTAAATTTCCATATTAAGCAAGTTTCCTCTTACAAGGGAGTCAAGTAATAAAAAATAAAATATAGAAGTTAAGCTAATGGCTTAAGCTTCTGCACAACATAATTGTTCCATTCCAAAGTCTGTGCAGAATGGATTCCTTTTCTTTTCTTTCTGTTTTCTTTTTTGTGATAATGGGGATCAAACCCAGGGGCACATTGCCACTGAGGTATGTCCCTATCACTTTTTATTTTTAATTTTGAGACATGGTCTTGCTAAGTTGCTAAGTTGCCCAGGTCTTGCTAAATTGCTAAGTGGCCTGGAACTTATGATCCTCCTGCCTCCACCTCCAGGGTAGCCAGAGTTACAATGTGTAGCATCTCACCTGAACCTCTCTTCATGTTCTCTGTGACAATTTTAGAACAAGCCCACCACAATAGCCATTTTGTGACAGGCATGCTCTCTCCCGCTGCCATTATCTGGAATGACAGAACCTGGGGAAGTCATTAGCCAGCATCTCTGCACCAACGTGGGCTTCACCCATTCCTCCTGGTTAGTAGTTCATTATTATTCCATGCACATTCCAAATTCACACCAAAGCAAGAATCCCCTTCACTTGCATGAGCTCGCCATGGAAGATTCACATACCCAACAGAAATCTCTTCCTGGGTCTGCTGCTTTAGCTGGACCTTCTGCCACTGTGGTCGGTGAGCAGTATTTCATCTCTGTAGTGGCAGTCAGAATTCCATCACAGTAGACACGGACGATGACTGACCCAGCAGGAAAATCTTACGAAACACAAACAGGAGTTAGGAGTTCAGTATGTAATGCACATATCATATCTTTTAGAAAATATGAAAGAAGTTTTAAGAATTCATAATGATTTTACTAACTTCTACCATTTACAATGTCTTTTTCTTATTCTAGACATTTAGAAATCACAAAAATAGACTGTATAATTTTAGATTTCCTTGTTTCTTAAAAGTAAAACCACATGTTGAAGTTGTAGGAAGAGCAAAGCACTAAATCTTTTCTCCTATTAGTAGCATCCTTTACTTTTCTGTAATCTATAATCATATTTAAATAAAGCTTTAGAATTTAGAAAAGTGTAGCCATTCTTTAAAAGCTAGGACTTTATCTATCTTATAAAGAAAATTCTAATTAATTACAGGTACACTTCTCAAAATTGCTTTTGTAGGTAGGAGGAAAGCTGGTTGCAATTCCCGAGGGTGCAGTCCCTTGATGAGGGCGAAAGCCTTGGGAGAGAAGTGTGTATGTCCTGATGCTGTTGTAGGCCCCTTGTGTAGACCGCACACCCATAGAAAGCTCTGCATAAACAAATTCTCCAAGTGACTGATAGCGGCCTTGTGAATTCTGCTCTCAGAGTTAAAGTTACGCAAAAATGTGGGGCTTGCTATGAAACAATAACAACATTCAGTCATTTCAATGGAAAATCATGTTTTAGTGTAACAGAAATAAACAAAGGTTATCTCTTCAGCTCTTTAAATTTGTAGGATAAACCTTAAATATCCCATTCTGTGATGGAGATACTTTCCAAATTCTTGAAAACTGTCACTGATATAGCTGAGGTTTGAAATATATCATTAATTATAAAACCAGTGACCTTGAACAGACTTGAATATTTAAAATTTCTTAAAGGTTAAGCACTCATTTTACTTTATCTCATGAAGAAGTCCTTGGACCTCTTATGATTTTATTAAGGACATTTTAAAAGCAACAAAAGCAGTGTCAAGTTTAATTAGATGATGGAGCTAACGTTCTCATCTCCAATTTTCTTACCCGATACATCACTTACAAAGAAGATGTATGTAGCAGCCCCGTCTTCCCAAAGAAGTGTTCCAAAATGTGCAATAGATATTGTGAATTGGAAAGAAATTGTTCAAAAGAAAAGAGAAATTGTGATGGGGAAAATGGGAAAGGAAGGAAGGGAAGGGAAAGGAAATATATATATATATTTATTATATATATATTATATATATTATATATATTATATATATATTATATATAAGAAAAGACAGTTATACAGCTAGTTTCTCTGAGTTCATTGAAAGGAAAGGTTTGAGCTAATACTGTTTGGACAATATTCCATGCCATCTTCTACTCTGAGTAACTACTATGAAGACAACAATTCACAATGTATTAATTACTCTTACTCTCCTACTAGCCTGTTTTGAAACTGTGTTTTATTGTTATTTTTATTTTTTTCTGTTTAAAGTAAAATTTTAAAAAAGAAGTGTTCATCTGATAGGGAATATCAGAGAAGCCCACTGAAAGCTGAAAGCATAAATTATAAAGCACAAGCTATAGCAGTGTTAGTGTGGAGAAGAGAGGTCTAGACTCACTCCAGCCAAAGAAAACAGATTTCTGTAGACTGCATAAATATGATGTTCTTCCATTTAAATTCCCATTTTATCATAGCAAGTTGTAAAATTATTTTGATAGAAGAGTTTGAATTTGGTTTTTGGGAAAAGATTAGTTAGCAGTTTATCATGAGGTGGTTACCTAAAGGGATTAAGTCAATGAATCTTTTTTTTTTTTTCTTGTCTTTTGAGACAAAGTCTCACTGCATGGTTCAGGGTGGCCTTGAACTCTCTATGTAGCCCAGGTTGGCCTCAAACTCAGAGATCCTCCTGCTTCAGCCTCCTGAGTGCTCTGATTACAGACATGTGACACCATTCCCAGCAGGAATGAATCTTGAGAGACACACATTGAGAAGGACTGCTTGCTTCCTTTCTGATATTGTACACTTAAAACATTCTAACTTCTTTCCAATCTAACATGATTTAATTCTGATACATAGACTCAAAACTTTACCAGTGGTTCTACAGATAATGACATTGCTTTTGGAGTAATCATTCAGAAAGACGCTCTTTGAAGTGTCATATTTGTTGTATTTTCATATCTGCTGAGTGGCAGAAGTTAACCAAGATCTAATTACTGTTCCTACCTCTGTGTAACAGAGACTTGCTCATGGAATCATTTGCTTGGAACCCCTCCTTCGTGATGTAAATTGAATTGTCATCTTTGTGAATACATGCTCATGAACTACTAGGCACAATATTGCTTTAACATGGGCTGGCTATGGTGACTACATTTTGCAGCCTTTCAATACAAATATAAACCAGCTAATTTAAAGAGGCAAATAGAATACGGCAAAAGTAAGTTCTGTGGTTCACCATCAGACTGAGGTAGGCAATAACAGGTAATACTGGAATGTGCACTGTACAGGTCAAGACCAGCAAAACCAAGCCAGGACGTGAGTCAGTGGTGAAGAAGAGAAGGTGCAGAGTGGAAGGGAGTCCTGGAGTAAGTTGATATACAATCCTCCAGATACTACGGAGACACAATGATAAAGGAGTCCCACTAAATTTCAAATCTCAAACTCCAGGCCATTCCAAAGAATTTGTCCTTTTATAACTTTTTTAGTAGTCCATATGTGCAGTACATGAAGCTTATATTCCTTGCACAAACACATGTACAGATGTACATGTACATAACACACCTCAATTCCTCTTCTCATCTCCTTCCTTTCCTACCCCTGCCCCTCCATCTCTTGGTCCCCTTTGGATTTGAGAAAGATCTATCTCCTTGCTGCCTGTTATCTTTTATTTTACTCTCTATTTATTATAACTTGGATTTCTCATATAAGAGAACCCATGTAATATTTAAGCTTGTGTGTATGAAGGTGCATCCATTTTCCTCCAAGTGACTCAAATTTCTCCTTTTTTATGGGTAAAGTTTTTATTTAAGAAATTATTATTGTCACAATTTTTCATGTCCAGGCTAACCATGGTGAAGAAATCAGGGTGCTTTGCTCTGTCATTTATGTTATTAGTGCAGTAAATCATGGCACCCAGAAGCTTTTGTCAACTTTCCTGTTTGCCACCATTTAACTGGTCTGCCCTTCTACTGAAGTGATTTATGGAAAACAGAATCCAAAGATAGTTATGAACAGTAAGAATATTTCAATAATTCCATAAAAATAGGTATCTCTCCAATCTGGTTAATTTAAGCTCTCTTTTGCTTGTGTATTCCTGTTTCCTGGGAAGGTTTGGCCTTTCATGAAGCAAGTTTAGCCTTTTCTCACACGACAAACATTAAGGGAATGGAGTTGTGAGATCAGATATCAAGGTGGCTGTGTATTGATTAGAGAACTATGAATAAACACAGGTGGTTTCAGAACCTTGGTCATACCTAAAAATTCATTTCAATTTAAAATGTGTCAAAATTGTTTTCTTAAATTATGATACCTAGACATCATAAATTGGTCATAAAAATCTATTTATCAATTTTTTTTCCTGAAGGAAGTTGGGTATGACATTTGCCAAGAAGTATTTTTTATGTTCTTTTAAAAAGTGTGTATTATCTAGATCAGAGTTTCTTAATTAATGAAGAGATTCTATTTTTGTGGCTACATTATGCACTCCTTTCAGCTCTTAATGAGCTGTCCTCTTACTATGTTAAATTTGTTTGGTTGTGCTACAGGTAACAAAGGAATACCTTCTTCCCTCTGCGTTGAAATTAGTTGATATTTCTGGCTGAGAGCCTCCTTATATGTTTTTATAGGTTAAGATATAAGCTGGAGCCACAGTAACTTCCAATTGCTTTAGCACAAAGTCCTAGTGAAGGCGAGTTTACGTGTATGACTAGTGCGATCATTAATTGTGGTGTGTGAACTGGGCTTGCGTAAGAACCATTAGTGGATCAGTAATGCTCTGGGTGTGTCTGTGGGATGGTCAAGTAGGCCTCAAACTGAGCAGGGGAAGCCCTGGACTGGGTTATAGGTGGCACCAACCAATAGGCTTGCATCCAGGATGGAATGCAAATGGGAAAGAAGAAAGAGTTCATCCATGTGTGAAGAGGTCCGGTCTTGGTCTTCTTGAGTGGTGTACCCTTTCCTGCCATTGCCTTTACACATTAGTCTCTAGGCCTTCAGTTCCCAAAGCCTTTCAATGCAGTCTCTCACCTCCTTCTCCTAATCACCTCCACTGAGTGGTCAGAGCAGCTGGAACTAATGAGCAACAGTGCCTGGAGAGGCCCTGAAGTCCCTTCTCCCTGTGTCACTCATTCTAGGGGTCTTCCCCCACTCCCACGGAGGGAGTGCTGCACAGAAAGGCCTTCTGCAGTCTAAAGTCATGGGATCAGGCTTCTGTCCAGTCACTGTCTTACATGCTGTCCATTCTTCATTGAGCCTAAGAATAAAAATTATTTTCTCTGTGTCTTTGGGTCTTTATTTGAAGAGTCCTGTGCCATGAAAACTTTGATTAAATAGGTCTGCTTGCTTCTTTTCCTCTGTTAATCTGTGCTTTGCTGTAGGGGTATCAGGTGTGGCTCTTATGACAGTGAGAAGAGATGATGACTTCCCCCCGTATATACTGCAACCTCACTTCTCTTACAGATTCAAGAAACATAGTAAAGTTTTAGTTTATTCAAATTTTTCTTCTGAGAATGGGAGTGACAACTTCTAAGCTCTTTGCCTGATGAGGCTGAAATCATTAGTACTGCTTGTAAAACTTTTGCTTTCATTATATAGCTGTGTGTGACTGGGTTATGACTTATAATGCATTTCTTACTGTGTAGGGTTTAAAACATTTCAAACACCAGTGCCATAAGACAAAGTGACGTTCTAATGCCATTTCTACTAGGGCATTTTCCATCCATATTCTCACATGGGTTCCTGTAACCATCTCTTATATTGTTGTATAGGAACCAAGATTTTGGAAGGAAATGTCTCATTAACTTACACAACACAATTGGAAGAATGACTTGTAGAAGTTGAATTAGTATAGCTAGCAAACTGTGGTTTATTGATTTTTTAACTAAAAGTTTTTATTTAACCACATAGACAATATTGTATCTCAGTATGTCTTGGGAGACATGTAGTATTAATTTCCTGCTTTTCTGCTAAACAATTTGACTTTTGACACTCTTGATTTTTATTTTCCTTTTATTTTAAAAATTTAAATAAGTATAGTATTTATACTTATTTATCCAGAACAGCATTGTAATTTGATGCATGTATATAATATGCTCTGATGGAATTAGGGTAGCCAGCATTTCTATGAAGAGCATGCTATCATTTTTATGAGACATTCTTCTCATCTAGGTATTTTGAAGTGTACAGTTCACCACTGTAGGGCACAGCTACCCTGTCATGCTGAGGAACACAAGAATTGCTCTTCCTGGTTTAGCTGCGCCTTGTACCCATTCTCCAGCCTTTGTTCCCTGCTGTCTCCCTTCCTAGCCTCTAGACCTCTCTACCCCACACTCTCCTTCTATGTAGCTGACTTCTTTAGCTTCTACAAATGAGTAAGAACATGTGGCTTTCATCTCTGTTCCTGGCTGACTAGCATAGTGCATCTTTCTTAGTGCCACTCATTTGGCTTCAAATGATAAGATTTCAAGCTTTTATAGCTGCATATTATTCCATTGTATATGAGTGCAGCATTAGTCACATGCAAGCCCATGCATGTATGAACACATTTTCTCTTTCTTCATTCATCCTCTGATAAGCACCACTGCAAGCATCCTCTGATAAGCATCCTCTGCATATAGCTTGGCCACTGTGAGCGGTACTGCAGTAGGCACAGGTGCAGAGCCTCCTGGACACAATGACTGCTTCTTTTGGACATATACATAGTGGTACTGCTGCATCATATGATCATCCTGAGCTGACCCTCTAGTATTAGGACATGAAAGCTAAGATTCTTTTCCAGCTCCATACAGTTGTCTCATTCTGGGAGTGAACCTGCCGCCATCACCCTGATGTGGAAAAGGTTTGGATACTATCAGATTTTCAGCCCACTTGGATGTCAGGCCGCCCAAAGCCTGACTGGTGTGGTATGCAGCCTGCACGGTCCCTGGTGTGGATTCCGTCTCATCTATGTATTGAATCTTTTCTGTGGGTTTGAGACAGGAGGACAAGCTGCCCTCCCAGTATGGCCAAGTTGCAAATAAACTTGTCTTTCCTGTTTCTCATTTTTCTTTACTGTGGATGACTGGTAGAAATTGAATCTGGTAGGGCTTAGATTCAAGCTTCTGTGGGGCCCAGTTACAATTCTACTGTTGATGTGAGCAGCCTAGAATGTTTCCCATCACAGTTGCCCTGAGTTGCCTTCCTGACAGTTGTGTAGAAGAGTGCCCCTGCTACATCCTCACCAGCATTCGTTATTTTTGTCCTTTTGCTAGTAGCCATCCTGACTAGGGTGAGATGACTTCTGACTGTGGTTTTGACTACATTTCCAGATGATTAGTCATGCTGAGCATTTTTTCATACAATTGCTGGTCATATCTTTTAAGAAATGTGTGTTCAGAGAATTTTCCCATGTTAGTAGGATTATTTTTGTTGTTTCTGTGTCGTCTGGGTTCTTTCTCCCATTCTGCAGGCTGTCTCTGCACTCCAGTGATTCTTTTCCTTGCTATGCAGAAGCTTCTTACTTTGATATCATGCTATTGGTCTAGTTGTGCTTCTGGTTCTTATCCAAAAACTCTTCATCTGCCCTGATGTCCTCAAATATTTCCCCTCTGATTTCTTCTAGCAGTTTCCTGGTTTCAGCAACATTGACACACTTTGTTCTATACAGTACTCTTACCCATTCTGTAGCTGGAGCATAAATGTTTAAATAATATGAATAATTTTTCCTGACATCTTGCTACCTGGGAAATATTTAAGTATTTCTTAATTTGCAATACTGACTTTTAGCCAGCAGTTTATTCTAACTAGGTTTAATTTGAACTCTGACACTAATTAGTTAGAAATTTTTAATCTATGAAATTATCTATGGATGTGACATAAGTCAGGAGTTTGTGACAAGAAAAAAGGGAGAAAAAAGAGGCAGAATTCTCTCCCATCTCACCTCCGACCATAGTCTCGGGACAGAGTCTTTTGTTCTTGTAACTCAACTCTAGTCTAACCTGTGCAAGGAGAGGCACAGAGCAGGGGGCACTTTGCATAACACAGACACACGTCGAGGAATGTCCTCTAAGTAGATTGTGTAATACTTACATTATAAGGGGGGGCATCAGGATATGTGTTTGATATTCTTCAATTTTAAATATTTTTACTACATTTCTAGGTTCATAATAACACTGAGCATCTTTTCATTTCACGATATTTTGTGGGGCTTACATTTAGGAAATTTTATAAGGTAATTTTATTATCTGATTATAAAAGAATATCATAAAACAAGCAGTCTTGCAGTTACATTAAAACATTCAGAAGCTGATAGATTATATTTTGATTTTAATACAATTATTGTGGTAAGTGTGGTTATTCCATTTGGAGTTTTACATCTAATATAATTTGTCATGTCATGACCAGGACTGGGTCATCAGGCGATCCCTTTAGAATGTAATGATTATGTATTCCTAGACCTGTGCTGTGTTATGCAAAATGCCAGCCCCTTTGGGCTACAAGAAGGAAAGACTATTCTCAGACTTTAGAATACTTCATGCACCGGGGATATAGCTCAGCGGCATAAGCACGGGCCTAGGAACACAAGGTCCTGAGTTTGATTGGCAGTACCAAAATAAAAAAAATTAAAAAAATAAAAAGACTATAGAACACTTCAGACCCTGCCTTTATAAATGAAGTAAAGGAATGATGGCAAGATTATCCACAGAGATGGTACATGTACCACGATTAGATAATGGTGAAGAAGAAATACCATTTCTAAAACAACCAAAAATACATTTCAAGGCTTGGGCAGGGGGAGAAAATAGAAAGCTTATTAATAAAATCTGAGGGGCTGGGGATTTAGCTCAGCAGCAAAGCGCCTGCCTGGCAAGCGCAAGGTCGTGAGTTCAGTTCCCGGTACCGGAGAAAAATTTAAAAAAAAAAAAAAAAATCTGAAAATCTTCTAATCCTAAAGCTGTAGTGAAGGAAATAATTTTACTTCCATATTTAAAAGATGATATATATTAAAGTGCTTTCTGTGGACATGTTTAAAAATATATGATGTTACAGGCTGTCATTTCACTACATGTTATACAACCTGATTTCTCATAATTTACACATTTTTACTCTTGCAAATCCAGATTAATAATAACAACGGTGGGTGTGTGAAAGCTAAACACAGGATGCACCTGCAGGACAGGGTTAGTTTCTAGGGAAGTGAAACCATTTATCATAAATGTAATGAAAGGAACTGAGGATGATGTTTTATATTTATTAAAGCATAGAGTTCTTACCTAGGGCTTTCATACACCAGACGTTCTTACCCCAAAGGGCCAGCCGTGTTCGAATGCACTTAGCATGTGATATAAACTCAGCCTCCACAGTTTCACCAACTACTTCATCTTTCAGGAAAATGAATATCTCACCAGGATTCTATAAGGTGAAGATGCAACCCAATTAAGCACTTGAAACAGTTCGCCTTAACCAAAGAACTCACTACATTTATGAGTGATAAAGGTCATGCACTATCACTGAATGTCTTTTACCCTGCTATATTTTCAGTCGTATTCAGAAATGAAACATGTCAGTGTGAGTGGAAATTTATCAATCTGGTGTTTATTGAGTGCTTCCGCTCAACACCATATTGGGCAGTGAAGAGTGGTGAGAATGGAGCAGGCTTTTCCTCTTGCCTCTCCCTGCTCACGGCCCTGTCTCAGGTAGCAGTGTCCGCTCCTGGACGAGCAGAGGCCTAGAAGACAACTGGCCTTCCCCCACAGCTGCCTAGAATTTGGATTTCTTATCTATCACAAGATGCCCTTCAAGTATAATGACATTTTTAAACGTCCCTATTTTTTAATGTAGTAGAAGTGCTCTGGTTACTTTTTATTTTTTAGGAATATCTCTGAAGGTTTTTGAAATGACCAAACTTTACAAATCTACAGGTTAAAGATTTAACTAAGTTGGAAAAGCTAAATTTATAAACATAGGTAAATGTGTTTTTGAAGAATTCTTTTTGGAAAGACACTACAAATGAGTACAGTGGACTTAAAAGACAGAGGAAACATTTCTTGGGTGTCTGTACTACACTAGGAATTATAGTAAGCACTTTCCACGCAAAGATTTTTCCTTCTATCTGAACTGAAACACACATACACCTCAAGAGAGACACGGACAAGATGATTACATTTTTCTTTTAGCGACAGAGCAGTGATCATTTTTAATTACATCCTGAAGCTAATCAGAACCACTCACTTCCAGATCCATGCTACCCTTTACATCATGCTAGCCCTTCAAAAAAACAAAATATTCTCTTTTTCCATTATCTGAGATATCACTTTCAAAGACTTTCCTCAAAGTCTTACTAAATTTCAGCCTTATACCTAATAAACAGGAAATCCATTTATAACCACTCATAAAGTGGTATTTATCGAAAGTCAGAATGCTCTTACTTAAATGTTATCTCCCTAAGCATAACTCACAAACCAATAAAACTTGCATCTTAATGCTTTGTACCAAAGAGTTTCTACAAATAGGACCAAATAATTCCAGCTGATCCATAAATATGCTTTGGCCATTTTTTGCAAGAGTCATGCTCCCAAATATTTGTCCATAGGACATTTTTGACCCCTCCCATTAAATTGCAGTACAGAAAATATCCTATCTTCAAAGAACCACCTGGATCCCATCATTCTCGCCCTCCACAGGCAGTGTGCAGAGGTGGGGAGCCTGCCCTTCCTGTGGGTCTACAGTACCTTTGGCTCCTCTTGTCTGTCACCCAACCTTGAATTTTAATCCCTCTGACTTTGGCTCACTCCTCAAGAGCCTCTGCTTCATGGTTCCTCCCAGATCTTTCCATGCGTGAGCCACTCCAGGCTTGACTTTGACTTTGTTCTTTCCTAAAGTGGCCAGCGCAGATGTCCTTTGTGAATGTTTTACTCCCGTTGCCAACTCATTCTTATTCATGAGATCTCATGCAGCTACTTCACATGCACCGGGTTCCCTCCTTAATAGAGGGCAGGATGCCACCTTTCAACCATTTCCAGAGAAAAATTCTAAACAAGAGACAAGCATCCTGATCTCCCCAAATGAGGCACATACCTCTTCATCTGTACCCAGGGCCGGCTTCCTAGGCTGCGACCTGTGCCCTCACACAGGGTCCCCTGTTCTTGGCTTAATGCTCACCCGTCACTGCCTTGAAATGCTTAATAATTTGAACAAACGACCTTGAGTTTTCATTCTGCACTGCAAATTAGCTAGCTGGCCTGTTTGTGCATGGTGTTGCTCTACTATGTAGCTGCTTTTCCCATTCTCTTCCCAGACTTTGGCTGTATATGGAGGCCCAACTCAGGTTTCATTGGCTCCATCACACTCTGCTGGAACCTCAGTGTTCAAGGAGTTTGGAATTCTGAGGAGATTCTAGAGCAATTCACATCCACACCCCTCAGTCCAGCCCTGCTTGGTCATGCCCTCTACTCTTTCTAGTTCCTCACATCTGTTGTCTTGGGTTCCCAGCTAGATTTTATGCATCATGAGGGAGTTTTGTTTTCTGACTTCATGTGGCAGCTTGTAAAAGTTGTGCACCTAAGAGATCTTCTGCATCTATATATCTTAAATGTGACATTTTCACAGGGACCATGAACCGTTCATTTGACCACTGCACCCCTTCATTAGCAGCTGCCTCAAAAGGAACCCTTGTCCATGATCCTGTGGACCGTGGTCCTGTGTCAATGGTCCTGTGGATGAATTAGACTCATTTGGGCCATGAGGCCTGAGTTTTGTCAGTCATGAGGCTGCTGCCTGACTCTCAGTCTTTAGATGCCTCTATGTGGCCCTTATTTGGGCCTGAGACATCAGAGACTGAGTTATGGTAATGATCACTACACAACTCTAATGCTTTCTTGCATTGGTCACAAGTCTTGAGGCCTAAAGAATAGAGCTGAAAGCTGGTGCACAATGGAGCAGGTCAGCAGTAAGGTCTATGGCATCTTCAGCTTAAATAATTCAGGAAGCAGAGGTGGAAGGAGACTTTGAGCCCAGTAACCTCAGGAACTTGTCATGGGCTTTGCCCAGTGACCAGTATCTCCTTGTACACATCAATCCTGGCCTTGAAGCCAGGGGCATATGGGTCTCTGGTTGTCATTAGTCTTGGCCAGGACAGCAGAGGAGTAATTTGTAACAAGGGGCCCTAATTTGGCTGCTAATTCTCACTTTCAGAGTTTCCTGGAAAGCTCTGAAGACTCTATGTCCAGGATGTAACAAGGCCATTTATTTCTGCATCTCTGAAGGTAAGAATTTTTTATTTCAAAAATTCTCCTTGAGATCTATAATGGTCCCTAGTACTTGGCGAACCAATTGGCTTGTCAAAGGAAAAAGATGTTTTGACTTCTCTACATCTCATGTGCAGAAGGGCAGCACTTTGGAGAATGGACATTTTAGGCCTTGGTGGGTACAATCACCTTTTACTCTATCAAGCTTTTAAAATTAAATCACTAGATTAGGCTATGGTCACAAAGAAATGGTTTGCGATTTGGGATCAGGAGGTAAGTGGACAGTGCTGGTAACAGTTCCTGTTTACTGTTTTAAATTGAATTTGGGCCACTGATAAGAGGTAATCTTTGAGATTCTGGGGGTTTAAGAGGCGCGTCCTTGCTTGATGTCTGGGGGTCTCTCCATTTGCCGTAGTTGGTGGTCAGCCTTGCAGGTTTGGAGATTCAGGATCCTTTCAGACACACAGGTGTGTGAGTGAGCAGGTCACAAAATTCAGACCTTCATTAGGGGATTTGCTGTGTTCTAGGATTCAGACAGGAGACTATTGAATGAAATCAATACAGATCCAATGCAAATAAAGTGTTACAGTTTGTGTCTAGATGTCCCTGCAAAGCCTGATGCAGTCATGGGCAGGCTTCTAGAGTTTTTGATTGATTCATGGTCCAATGCTTGGATTATGGGTATGAGTGCTACCTGCACCCTGGGACAGCTAGCTTGCATACAATATATGGGAGGGAAAAAGGTTTTCTTTCTGCTCTTGCTGTTTTTGCTGTTTTTCACCATCACTGACTGTTGCCCTCTGTCAGGTGCCACTCTGCCTTGGAGCCAGCTGAGTACAGACTGAAGCCTCCACAAACTATGAGCTAAATAAATCTTTCCTTCCCTAATTCTGGGCATCAGGTATTTTGTCTCAGCAATGAGAGAAGTAACCAAGACATAAAGCCACTTAAGTGGTCTTCAGGGCTGCTCTATAACTTTAAGAACTGAATTTGTTTAAGAAATCAATGTGTGAACTGGTTTTAAAGATATTTCAGTCTCATCCTCAGGACAACAGGGTAGCTGCAGTGGGAGAATAAAAATAAGAAAGGGCTGCAGGTTGATTGTACTGAAGGAAAGGAGAGATTGGGGGGCAGAAACACTGAGACTCAGTGGGAAGTTTCTTCCAAAAGGAAGGGGAGCGGGAATGTTAGAGGGGTAAGACAGGGGAGGCACCAGGGACAAACTCTGGTACTTCAGGGGGGGCTCCTATGGGGAGCACACTTGAAAGAACCCTCTTAAAGTTTTGGGTAAAATTTCTAAAGGGAATAGAACTGAGTCAGGCATGGAAGTGTGCATCTGGTATCCTGGCACTGTGGCAGGTTGAGGCAAGAGGGTCCCAAATTTCAGCCCAACTTGGGTAACTTACTGACTCAAAAAGTAAAAAAGGCTGATAATGTTGCTCAGTGTGAAGGCCATGGGTTTGATTCTCAGTACAACCACAACAATAATAATTACAAAAAAGTAAAAAGGAGTGACTGGACGTACCCCTTCAAGATTAGGTGGTTCTACTATAGGACAGCTGGGTAGCTTGCAGAGAAGCCATGGAGAAAGACACTGAACTCCTGACAGCTGTGTGCAGCATGTCTGAGGGTGACCTGATGTGGTACCATTCCTGTGCTCTGGGGCAGCATAGTGCCTCAGGTTCACAGTGAGCATTGGCCTGGCCATGGCCCCTGTCCTGGGCATCACAGATGTTGTTTCCAATTCCAGGCTTCTATCCACCAGATTCAGTAACATCTCCCAGTTTCAACAACTGCAGGTGCCTGTGAAGTCATCCAACTCTCCTTCGTAGAAGAGACCCCTCCAACACCCCAAATACACACACATGCACCCGGAGTTGAGAACCTCGAAGATCAAGGAACTGCACACGTATAGAATCATGACTGAAGGAGAGGAGAAGCCACCAAGGCTGGGGCAGTAAGTCAGGGTGAGGTATCATTACCATGGAAGAGCGCCTCCTGCAGGGACCCTCCCTGGGGAGTCAGGAGCGCAAGGAGTGTTGTGAACAATAGACACACAGACTGGGACTCACACATTTCATTGCCAAATCTATTACCCTTTGAGCCAAAACCAAGAAGGAAATGCTAGAAAAGTTAACATCCTGGCCAAGATACACAACAAACATTTAAAAATATAAAATACCCAAAGTGCGCCAATCCTACAGAAAGTATAAAAAGAGACTAAAGAAAGAGGCAGACTGAATCCTAAAACTCACCTCCGTTTTTCTCAAGGATAGAGAGTGACTTAAAGAAACAGAACTCTGTAGCAGATCTTGGTGGGTGCATAGAAAACAAGTTGAAGAGAAAAATACATTTTTTTCTATAGTTTTTAAAAGTGGAAACAGATTTTCAATGCTGAAGAGATTGAAAATATGTGGAAAAGAAGAACACAAGGAAAAGAAACAAGACAGAGAGCCTGACATCCCCAGCTCTGGCCCCGGGGCAGCAGGAACATCATCCACCACCTGGTTAGTAATGGACCAAGGCAGATTTCCTGGAACACACTGGAGGGAGGTCTGCAGACCTATAGTTCCACACCTGAGGCAGCACTGGGACCTCATCTAGCCCCACACCCAAAAAATGGAGACTACAGCCCATGAAGAACTCATGCTAGAGACAGAACTACCAGAGGAATGAACGGGCTGTGAAGATGCCAGTGGGATGGAGGCCCATCTCAGATCAGCCCAGGCCACAGGCAGAAATAGCTGTGCACATTTCTGGATCACTTAGGATGGCAGGAAAGCTTTACCTGTCCCTTCCCAGGGGCAGAGCCTCTGTTCACTCAGAACTGGAAGACTCCTCAGAAGTGAGCTGAAGATCAAACTGTGCTTTGGGACAATCAGCCGACAATGAACATTACTGGTGCAGACTTGAAACAGGATTTTTCACTCAGCTGGGTAACAAATGGTCTTTTCTGTGGTGCCTGGCAACCATCATAAGGACTTAGATTGCACTGAGATCTACATACAAACAATAAAAGATTGTGCAGGGATAACTGCTCTTGGTCTAAAGGATTAGTTTATTTTGAATTCTTAGGGAATGGGGCTGGTATTGAAACAATCTTACAGGCCGTTCTAACTCTTAGAATATTTTAGACAGTAAGGTACCCAAGAGGGATGTGATATTGAAATAATTTAACCTCAGGTGATCTGAAAAAATTTCATCCATGTCAATAAAAAAAGGTCCATGGTTCGACTATTGAAAGAACCTCTAGCCTAACTGGCCATCTGTACAGCACAACCTCTCCTAGAGGAAGTGAAACTTGATTTTGGAATTTGATTTCTTTGCAATTTTAACAACAGAGTGGGTTTTACGTTGCTCAAATTTAAATGCTGCAGATATTTCTAAAGCATCTATCGAGACTAACTGCATAACTCTCGTGAGCTATTTTTAGCTTCAGAGGTTTTCTTCAGGGTGGGAGTTTCTTTGATTCACCTATTTGGGAGCAGCTCACAAGTGTGTTTTTATTATATTTCTTCCTATATTCAGTAGGAGCTCTCAGCTTGGGTTGTGTAGCTCAGCTCCCTCTGTAAGTTTCTGGGTCTCTTAAATGTCTTGTGATTTTCTTTGCCTGATCATTTGTCAGTGCTCACAAACCTGCAAGTGCAAGTTTGCCTTCTTCTGGAATGGATGCACAGTAGCTTAGAACAGAGCTTCTGTTCAGGCTTATGTGTTAGGGGAAAGGAGAGAACCAAATCTACCAAGCTCTGAAGCGCACCGGGCTTCCTCCACCTCAGAATCAGGAGACCAGAGTCATCAGTGAGCCCCGGCTTTCAGGGAACACGGATTAGCAGGCTGCTGCCAGAAGGACCCTTAAGCATCCCTGCATCTATGGCTTTTTCTGCTCAAGGCCACCATAGACATCGAGGCCGCAACTTTTGGTTGTCAGATCACCTTGTGAGAGAGCCAAGCTAAGCTCTACTCAGGGCTCATTTTGGTGGCTCATTCTCAGAGAGATTTAGCAGGAAGCTCTGTCGGGAGTATATTTTCATCTAGTCATCTTCTTAAAATCCTTCCCCAATGTTATATGATTATTCCCCAAGGGACCAGCTCTTACAGTGCTTATGATATCTCCATTTAATAATATTAGTTAGTTGATTTACTTAGTTTTCCCATTGCTGAGACAAAATACCTAGTCCCCAAAGTGAAAAGAGGAAAGGTTTATTTCACTTCACTCTTTGTAGAGGTTTCAGTCCATAGTTGGCTGGCTCCAAGGCAGTTATCATGGCAGAGGGGCATCACAGAAGTGAAACAGTGCACGGCAGGGTAGGCAGATGGCAGTGAGTGGCAAGCCTGCCTTCTTTCTATCCCTTTCTAGTCCATGTAGGCTGCAAGCCTATTGATTGGTGCCGGCCATGTGCAGGGTGGGGCTTCCCATTATCCACACTGAGAATTATGCTAATTCTAATCAGTGGACTAATTTAGTGCCACCTACCTTAATCCCAGTATCACACAGTCTAGATCCAGGCAGCTCTGAAAAGCACCATCTATGAGCACATGAGGTTTTGAAGGGGACATCTACATACAAGCCACAGCATCAGCCTTTAAAATATATTTATAATAAAAAAGCTGATTGAACTAAAAATAAAAATTTGTAAATTCTATTCAAGGATATATTTCCCTTTAGGAAAATAAAACACTTCACATGTTTAATATGAATCTGATTGTCTTTTAAATATCTTCATCTGTATAGATAGCAATTGTATATCTGTTTGCAAAATGTCAAGCAATATTTGACAAGATTAATCTTTTGCATATTCTTTAATATCCAATCAGTCAACGGATATTTATGAAACGCCATCTAATTGCCAGGTACTGTACTAGGTTACAAAAAGTACACCAAGATGCTACATATTTTATAGCTTATAGTCTGGTGAAATGCAGTGTTTATTAAATAAATGACAGGGCCATTTATATAACAGGACAGAAGTCAGCATTACCAACCTCACAAGGAACTTCAGCAGGAAGCACCATGGCCAGGGGAGCAGCACTTCCGGAGGTTCCTGGTGAGGTTTCAGTTTCGTCTCTCTCTCTCATTTCCCCAGGATTGTTCACTCCTTGGTCTGCTGGAACGCTGACTTCAAGGTAGTCTTCAGAATCTAGAAGATATTTGGTGAATACAGATTACAATAAATTATTTCCTCCACTATTATAAAGACTAATTGCTGACAAAGAGGTTTTATAAATAGATGACCGGACAGACTTTAGGATAGCTGTAATAATTAAACATGTTAATAGTTACGATGCTGTTTTTTAATTTCACTAACATTATAACTTTTATGACTAAACTACATCAACTATTATATGTTCATCTATTATTAAGTATTTTAAAATAATTCCAGGCCTGGGGATTTAGCTCAGCGGCAAAGCGCCTGCCTGGCAAGCGCAAGGTCGTGAGTTCGGTTCCCGGTACCAGAGAAAAACCAAAAAATAAAATAAAATAAAATAAAATAAAATAAAATAATTCCAATCACCATTTATATTTTCTCTTTAAAATTTTTTTATTAGTACATGTTTGTCATACATAATGATCATATTCATCAAGAAGAAATTGTGCCTGTACACAATGTATCTCAATTCTTTTTTCCCATTCCCCTCCCCTTTCTTCAACTCCTCTTCCCCTCTCCATTTATGAAAGATTTGTTTCCATCTTTCCCTTCCATTCTCTTTTGTTAATCCCCTTTCCCTTCTTTCCCCTCCTTCTTCTCCCTGCCTTGTTCCTCTTCCACTTGAACAAGTTCTTCCTACTTCCCAATATCTATTGTCCACTTTGCTCCTTATTTACCAGCATCAAACCACAGTGACTTGTACACACCCATGTTTGTAGCAGCACAGTTTAAAAGCTTTTGGAAAAAGCCCAGATGCCATCAACAGATGAATGGACAAAGAAAATGTGGTATTTATATACAATGGAGCACTACTCTGCTGTCTCCAAAAGGATGAACTGCGGACATTTTTACGTAAATGAGTGCATGTCAAAATCATAATTTTTAGTGAAATAAATCAGACTCACTTGTTTAAATATCATATTGTTTCTCTTGTGTGAGAAACTCAAAGGGTAAATAAGGAGCAAAATGGGGGATAGATATTGGGAAGTAGAAAGAACTTGTATATTTTCTCTTAATATTGAAATAATAAATCTGCAGCATATTAGGCCACTTCTTTTCTATGGTAGCCATAAAGAAAAATTATCGTACATTTTAGCTTCTTTTTTGTTAGTATGTGTTTGTGACATATACTAGCTGCATTCACCTCAGGGAGTTGGCACATGGACGAATCTCCTCTTGGTCATTCTCACTTCCCTCCAGTCCCCTCCCTCTCACCTCCCCACCCCAGATCCCCTTTCTAAGTCAGAAATATTTGCCTAAGAATTATGATTACATTTTGCAGATACTTCTAAGTTTTATGAGAATAACTATGGAACAAACTAGTATCTCTATGAAACACTAGTTTAACAGCAAAAGCATTAGTTTAATATTAGTGAAATACTAGTGTTTATCAAAATGTTAATGTGTCCTATAAAAATATTTGTTCTCTATCAAATAATTTGGATGTCTTTATACTGTTATAACCAAGAGTGGTACAATATACTAGTGTGAATTTCAAAGAGTAGAGCATCTTGCTGCGGTTTTGTTTAACATTTAATAACTTAACACTTCCTATCAAGTATTAAACATTATTCACTAGTGAAAAAACATGCAGTTAGTGATGGTGACAGATGATGTTTTATTACTCAATGTATCAAAGTGCAAAATACTTTGGTAGGGCTGGGAACCATGGTGGTTGAAATCAAGTCACAAAGAGAAGGTGGCACCTATAAACTCTTTGGCCCACCCAAAAGTATCACCCAAACTCCCAAAGAGGGGACTTGTACAGACTGCAGAGGGAAGGCAGTCCCAGAGCCAGAGGCTGGTGGGCAAGAAGGCAGCCTCGGCTCCCTGAACCAGCCTGACACTGCACCCACACTGCCACAGAGCAACAGAAGACATGATCACTGTCACCATGATGAGTGTAGACAGAGACAAATTCTGCAAGACCACAGTGCCACCCAAAACACTAGAAAGACCGACACCCCAAAGTCTGGCCAGTGTAGACAGCTAGCTGCTCCTTCACCAACCTCAGCCTTAGTTGTCTTGCAGAGGGCATGTAGCTATTCTTCCCATTTTCCTGGATATTGCTGACTTAGGAGCTGGAAGCAGTATGTCTTTGAAAGTTGCTCAGTCCCAAGCAAACCAAAACAGCTGAGGCTTCTAGGTAGAGTCATTAAAATCCCATCCTACACAAAATCATAAAATAGCCCTCCTTCCAGACAGCAAGGGAAATATAGAGAATTCATGTTTTCTTGAATGCTCCCTCAACTCATGTGACACCAGCCTAAGTCTTATCGTCTTTCTAGTACTCCTGTACTCAGACACCCTATGGCTCTCCTGATGTGCCTTCTATGTACTGCAGCAAGCAGAAAACCCAGGTGGGTCAAGTGCAGGTCTGTTCCTGGCAGCCATTGGCTGAAGGGCACTGAAAGAATAAGGGGAAGAAGAGCCCAGACAGTGCAGCCAGAGAGAGTTGGAATGTGGGTCTCCTTGTGCCCAGATGAGGGATGGCGCTAATCTCAATGGGCCAGGGCACCAGAGAAGCAGAATGAGGGCAGGGCTGGCGGGTGCACGATGCCGTGGGCTCTGATCCCAGCACCAGGAAAACAAAACAACACAGACAAAGTGACTACAGAGGGCAACAGGAGATGCTTGCTCGCAAGGGCTGCTTACAGGCCAGCAGCTTCTTAGGAGAGGCCTGCTGGGGGTGGCGGTTTTTGTTTTGTGCTTTTTGTTTGTTGTTGCTTTGTTTTGTTTCTGTCTCATGAAAGTTTCAGAGTTAAAGCACAAAACACCTAGGATTCCCAGATTTCTCTCAGTGTTTGTAAAGAGATGAGAATCAGCCTTTATTTCTCTATGAACTTAAAGCTATTTGATAAGCAGTCTCTGTCTCTGTCTCTCTGTCTCTCCTACACACAAACAAAAGTGAGAGACTACATAATACCAATTCAACCATTTTTTGAACTGATAAAGAGCAGGAAAACTGGTTTTATTTAATATACTTTAAGCAAAGAGGGGTAAGTAATTCTCCCATGGCAATAGCTAAGATTTTCTGCTAATTCTTTTGTAATAGTAGGTTAGGAAGAGCTACTTTTTATTTACTCTGGGGACATAATTATGAATGCTTGGAAAGGCTTATTTCTATGAAAGTGCACAGAAGCAGTATTTGTAATCCAGAAAATTGGAAGCAATCTAAGCAATAATGGAAGAGATGAAAATATGCAATATGATAAAAGATTTTGATAATAATAATTCTACCACAGAATATTTAACAAGTTTATGATACAACAGAAAGATAATCAAGTTAGAAAATTTCAGTTTAGTACGTTCCTATTTCAATAAAATGATCATGTATGTACAGAACTATGTGGAAGTAATTCAAGATATGCTCTTGAATGAGAATAGATTAGTCATGTGTATACCCAAAATACCAAGAGTGGTTTTTTCTAGTTGATGGATTATGCATACTTTTATTATATATGTATATAAAATATTAATAATATGTAATCATATAGTATGTATGATATATATCCTTATTTTTCCAGGAAGACACTGTATTTTACAGAGTATACTATGTATACTTACTTCAAGTAGAAGAATGAATTGATCAAGCATTGAGATTAAACGCATGTATCTATTCCCCTCTACAACACATAAATAAAATAATAGAAAATTTTTAAACTGATGACTTTATTTGAGCATTAGAAATTGATAAATAGTATAATCCCATCATAAAAACCTTTGAGGAATTCTTCAAAATCAAAGTTAATCTGGATTAAAGATACAAGACCAGAGCAAATGGAGCCCAAATCATGATTAGAAAGCATAATTTCAAATGTAAGATAGTTTTCTAAAACTAGTTTATTTCCAAAACTGAAGAGACTCCAAACTCAAAATCCAAAGAGCAGAGGGGTCCTGAGACAAAGGTCATGGTCATAAACTGACATCTCATCTGCAACAACGGATGTGACTGGGGCTTTCCCAGCTGTCCCTAATACTACAAAAGAGGAGATGTGTCTTTGCACGTCACTGCGGCAAAATACCTGTAACTGGAATGAACAGAATTCATTTTGGCTCAGAGGCTGAGGGCTCAGTCCTGGTCACTTTGTCCTGTTGCCTTAGGCCTGAGGTGGGGCAGAGGATCATGGCAGGGAGTGCATGGTGGAGGAGGCTGCTTACCTCATGGCACTCAGGAAGCAAAAGCAGAGAGGAAGTGGTGGGGCTCCCACTACGTCCTTCAAGAGCACACTCCAGTGGTTGCTCACAAGGCCCTCCCTCCTTCCAACAGCACCACAGGTTGGCAACCAAGCCTGCAGCCTCCGCAGTTGTTCCATCATATTGCTCAGAGTTGGGTACTGGTTAGCATGATGTAGTAGGTGAAGAACAACACAAAAGGTGAAGTGTGGGACTTGATGGATTTGGGATGGGTGCTGAGGGGGCACTCAAATAGAATCTACCTATACAAGCTCACTTCCTGTTATAGTTCAAATGTAAATTTCCCCCAAAAGTCTGTGTGTCCACAGGTGTGGCTTCTGGAAAGTAGTTGGATGATGGGAGCACCAGGCTCATCTGTGCACCCATCCACTGATGAGTTCATGGCTGTTGTGATGTTAGGAGGTGGATTTAGGTGGGGATGGGGATGTGATCTCACAGAAAGTGTTCTTCTCCCCAGCTTCTACCATCTCTCTCTCCTTTCTGGCTGCCTCAGGTTGAGCAACTTACAATCACCACACCCTTCCACTATGTTACTTCTTCCTTGGAGCAGGTGAACGATGCATAGAGTGAATCCTTTGAAACTGTGAGCCAAAATAAACCTCCCCTCCTTTAAGATGCAGATGTCAAATTCTGTCTTAGAGACAGGAATGTGACTAAGACAGTAAGCCCAACACACATGCTACTCAGTGTCCAGTGAAAGGTTGGAGATGGGGGGCTGGGGATTTAGCTCAGCGGCAAAGCGCCTGCCTGGCAAGCGCAAGGTCGTGAGTTCGGTTCCCGGTACTGGAGAAAAA